TTCATCAGAAATCGACACGGAGACAGAATGAATTAGAATCCGACAGTGAGTCAAACTGTGGACTTTTCTTTATGTCCGACAGGTGAACTGTCACAGATTCACAGTCTTTTGTGTGTTACTGCAATACGATGCATCAAACATCACTTATACTGTCCAGCTACGCATGTAGGACAAATACTGTATCACGTCTTTCTTTGTCAGAGTCTGAATGAAGCGTGAACAACACTAAAAGTGCCGTCGCTTTACCAGGTCGATAACATTTTACATGTTCCATGTCGGAAAATCTGAGACACTAGAACCAGTAGATGTTTGGTGTTTTCACCCAAATCGCTCCTTTTGTGTCGTAAAAGTGCAGCCCGAGAACTAGTCCTCGATTAATGAATCCTAAATCACAACAGCATCACACTACAGTCGGTCGGATGGAAGCGTGAGACCCAACAAAGCTGCTGCTGTGCCCAGCCGAGAATGTCACATATTTCACTGATATTAGCAAAATGTCAGAGCCTTAAATCACAGCGTTCACACAGAATGATCCATATCCTGTGGAGAAGGGGCATAATTGCACTGTCTCCAGCTCTTTTTTTATAGCCTCCACAGTGAAGCCTTTGTTACTGCTTGGCAAAAATCATGTTTTCCGCTCTTTGTCTAAACCCTGTAAGAAAATGTGAATGTGTCCTTCGGACTCTTTCTGCACGTGGAATCCATCCAGCGGCGCTCGTCGAAAAAAAAACAGAACCCCACCACGCATGAGATGCTGTTTCCACTGAGGAAATTGAATCAAACTCGCAACGCCGTCTAGTTTTTACTTCCCAGCTGTGCCTCCGCTTCTCCCTCTCGGTTTTTTCTTTTTTTTTTTTTTCCTGCCTGCACGCCCCCCTGGTTTTGATCAGAACACAATGTCGTGAGGTCAGATCTGACTCCTTGGCAGTTCTGCGTTTTCTCTAAAAGTTGCGAAGACGCTCGGACGAGATGGACTTGTGCTGCTGTTTCTGCTCAGGACCTCCGAACGGTAGGCTGGGGTTGGTTTGTCTGTTTTTACTTTAGGCAGAAATCCTTCCTTTTTAGGAGTCTCTGTGGTTCGTATCAGGATGCTGCAGATGGAATTAACTATGCAGGGTTGAGTTTCCTGCGTTGTGCGTGCCATGTGAGGACAGTGCCACTCCCAGTGTCACCAGTGGGGATTAGAAAACATCTCTGGCATTCCTGGCGTCGCTCACCTGAGCTGCCAGGAAAGTTTGTGTCATGACTGTGTTTTTTTTGGAGCATTTTAAGAGTTTCGTACCCGACGGGCTGTGATCTTGGGAGGTTTGTCTATACTGTGTATGTAGGAGTGTGCATTACAGTCCGGGACTCACATGTGAGCGGAGTGGGAGTGGGCGGACTCCTCCCATCGAGGAGCGCTGGAGTGGATCCATTCCATCTCCTGCTTTTATTGCTCCCTTTACTCGCGTTTCACTGGAACTAATTGGCAAATTGCGCTGCCAGTTTCTGAGACTTTGGGGGATTTGCTTTTAAAAAAAAACAAAACCAACCCGGGATCATTTAAGGTTTCACCCAAAATGAACCGCTGCAGCCGAACAATGAGCCTTTTCTCCTTCCACGTCTGTTTTGAGTCACTTCAGGGCCTGTGCTTCAGAGCGCCTGCTGTAAATTCCCGTCCATGTAGAGGTTGAGCTCCAGGTCCGGGTTGCGTCGTCTATTTTTTGCAACGTGCGATCGTGACACGGGCCTTGGTGTTGGGTTTCCGCTCGTGACAACAGAAAACGTTGGCAGCGACGCCGTTTCGCCTGCAGCCAGACGTCAGGCGTCTTCGGCGGTGATGCAAGCAGGTGTCGGACGCGTCTGTTATTTTTTGCAATTACAGTCAGCGTTGTGCAACTGGAGTTAATACCCAAAGCAACAAACGGATCGCTTTATTCCTGAGAACCAGGTGAAGCACTTACAGAGGAATGTGGTCACGATCACGGCGGCAGCAATTAGTCCTAATTACAGGTTGTTTAAAGGGTTAGATATGAGTCTGAAGTGGCGTTAGCCGTGTTTTCGCGGTTTTGAGTTTTTAGGTATTTTGCAAAATTCAAAACAGGTTTTCGCAAAAAAATGGTTGAACAGATTCAGCCTGAGGTGGGTTTTGAGTTTCTTGAGAAATGGAAACACCTTCAATTAATAAACATCTGTTTACGTTTTCATGTCAGGACAACATGAAGTCTGTTTAATACCGAACCGCATGAAAGATTCATTACAACTCTCCTGATTGAAAACACTTCCGGACACGATTTGTTTGTTCAGTCTTCTGCTGTGAGGTTTTCTAAGGCGGTTTTCTTCTTCTACTGGCTGTAATAATGTTTTTTTATGTGCATTTTTAAGTATCACATCAGAAAACGTTAACAGGAATGACTCATTTTGACCAAAAACTTGTTCTCTTTTGACTTTTTCAATGCAGTTATTTTGCTTCATTAGAGATGGAAACATGTTTTTTTTTCAGAACTTTTCACGTATTTAAGATTCAACTTCTCTTTTTTTTTTCCGTTTTCATGTCCAGACAAAACGAAACCTGAAGAATAATTACAACTTTCCCAATTAAAAAACAACCAAGACTTCTCTTCATTTGTCTTTTGTAAGCCTTCTTCGTATAAACGAATTTTTTGAATGTTTGCTCCTTCTTCTACTCTGTTAATTGCCGCTAGCGTCGCCTACAGCGCCACCTTCTGACAGCTCTGAGCGTCGTAGTTTATTAACGCTGAAGCAATTCATATTAAAAGACATAATTCTCAAAAGTTTGCTTCGAAATCACTGACTGACAATCTCTGAGTGTAAAGTGAGCAACAACAACAGCTGTGTTCCACGTGTTTACAGTATTTTACCTGCGTTTTTGAATGTCGCGTTAGAAAACGTAGATGGAAACAGCACAAAAACAACAAAAAAGTTTTAACGCGCTTCGTAGAAGATGGATGGAAGGAGCTCTCACAAAAACTTCTTTTCTCTTGTAAATGTACACGTCTGTCTGTTTGTTTTTTAGCAGTTAGCAAATAACAGGTTTTGTTTCTGGCTTCTTTTACTGTTTAATATAAACTATCGTAGCCTACAGCGCCCCCTTCTGGTGACACTATGCAGCCTCGTTTAGTCGCTCCAAAGCAGTTTTTGGAAAGTAGCCTAAGTCACATTTTTATTTATTTATTTACATTTTTTGGGAAGATTTTACAGTTTATCCTCTTGCTTGAGGTGGTTTTTGACTTTCAAGAGTTGATTGTTGATCTGAATATTAAATGGAAACACGTTTTTGCTTAAGTTCTGACGTAGTTTTTTTGTTGTTTTCGTCTCCGGACGGCGTAAAAGACGTTGATAAAATCGCACATAGAGGAATCTTTACAACTTTCCTGATTTCTCTTGTAAAAAGTTTTGTTTTTTCTTCTTTTTTTTAAACTTTTTTTTGCAGTTGGCAACTGGTTTCTGTTTCCTTCTCATTCTACACTGTTTATTGTAGCTAACATGGCCTACAGCGCCCCCTTGTGGTGACACTGTGCAGCCTCGATAAGTCACTCCAAAGCAGTGATCGTAAATTAACCTAAGTCACGTTTTTCTCCTTTTTTAAATACCTTTTCGATTTTTTTTCCCAAGGTTTTAAAAGATTAATTTGCACAGTAATTATATAAAAAAACATGCACAGTGACTGAAAGCAGCTGTAATCATAGCTGACGTACAGGTTTAAAAATGCCAAAGTCATTTTTTAAATCACAAAAACGTGCCCAATTTTGCATTAAAAAAGTTTATCTGCTTGCTTGAGGTGGTCTTTGACTTTAAAGAGATGATTGTTGATCTGAATTTGAGATAGAAACACATTTTCCACTTAAGTTCTGTCGTAGTTCTTTCGTTGTTTTCGTCTGAAACGTAGCCGACGCTATCCGACATTTAGAATAATTACAGATTTTCTGATTGAAAACATTTTCCTCGAGTATAAAGTCTTGCATCTTCTTTTTCTTGACGTTTTAAGCCGTTAGGCAGCAACCGGTTTCGTTCACGGCTTCTTCTGCTGTGTTTATCGAGGCTAACGTAGCCTACAGCGCCACCTCCTGGTGACACTACGCTGCCTCGTTTATTTGCTATAAATCTGTTGATAGAAACAAGCAGTTCTGGCAACATTTCAAAAGTTGGCTTCGCATTTTGTTTAACGATTACATGGAAACAGCGAGCGGTTGTAATAACAGCCGACCGACGGGTTTTCAAATATGTAAATAACAGAGTTGAAGGTGTCACGAGGACTAGATCGGGTTCAAGGAGAGATTCACCCTCCAGGCTCTTCTGTGTTTTAACAACAGAGGTTTAAAAAAAAAAACCTGCAGAGCTGTGCACGACTTAGAGGCTGAATGTGTAGATTGGTGGTAAAACTGCATCCAGTTAAAGGAGTTTATACCCAGTGGTTGTTCTGTCCAAGCATCAGGAAGCAATTAAGCTGGAAACACAATGAAGTTACGTAATGAGTCGATCATGAGTGGGCTGCGACGCGATGGAGAGGCTCGGCTCGGCGTAAATATTTGGAAAAGGAGGAAGGGGCTCGACTGATATATGACCCGTAGCAAGACGCAGCGCAAGAGTCGGAAACCTTGACTCGGGGTTAGTTTGCTTCCTTATCCAGGCCGAGCACAGCGAGTGTGTTACACAAAGCAGCCTCATGTATTATTAACTCCTGCAGATAGGCTGCAGGGCGAGACCAGGGGAGTCGCTGGGAGAGGGCAAAAACTTATTTATAACCTCGTCAGGGCTGAGGAGCCGCCGGTGGTTGGAGGAGCCGGTTTGGGAACGACTTTTAAAGGCAGAAAGGGGTGAATATTGCTGAAAAAGAGGGAGAAAAAAAGGGGGAGGGAGGGAGTTAAGCCAGAGGACTGAGTCACAGCGGAGGGAGGGAGGGACGGCTGCCTCTCTCCCTTCTTCTGCCTCTCGTAAAAAGTCCCGGACGGCTCGGCTTCAGCTGCTTTTTAAAGTCCGCGATGCCACCACACCCCTAGAAACTCCCCCCCGCCTCCCCTCCCACGCTCCCTCCTCACCTTTCACCCCCCCACACACCCTCGGCCGCCCTCCCACCTGCCTCCACAGCACCGGGACTCTCCACTTCGTAGCAGGCCCGATGCCGGCGAGCCCCCCTGGACATGTGTTCCCGACCCTGGTGGTCGTGGGCCACGTCGTGACCCTGATCCTGGTCTGGCAGTGGAGGGTTCGCAAGAAGCAAGGTAAGACGCTCCGGGAGATGGTTTTTTGTTCTGCGCAAACGGTTGGTAGCCGTCGGTGGCAGCTGCCGTCGCCTCTGAGCTCCTTCCTCACCGCCCCCCTCTCTCTCTGCCGGCTTCCTGTGCTGCCGTTAACCCCGTCAGCGCCGCCGGGTGATGACGTCGCAGGAGTTTGCAAAGCTCAGCATCTATAGACGAAGAAAAAAAAAAAAGTGCTTCATCACCTTCTGCTACAGATCTGCTCAGAGCTGTGGGAACCTTCGGGAGGCTGGAATGTTTTTTAGAGTTGGGGGAAGATTGGAGGCCGTCGGACCTGCTGCTGCTGCTGCAGCCTGAAGGTTAAAGCAGACGACTGTGGCTTTAAATGTCAGCAGAGACCGGTTCCACTAATGGCAGGCTGTCGTCGGTTAATCGGTTGATCGATTAGAAGGAAAAAAAAGTTTCTTAAATGTGAATGTTTCCTGGTTTCTTTCCTCCGTGTTTGAGTTGTGAACAAAACAAGCTTCAAGTCATGTTTTAAGAAACTCTGATCGACGTTCCTCGTTTGATAGAGGAAAAAAAAGTGATAAAATAATCAACTGTTTAATCAATAATGACGATAATCATTAGTTGCAGCTGCACTTGTTTACACTTTACAACCAGTTTTAATACGATTTATTATTATTAGTCGCAGGAGTATTTAATATTATTAAAACCTGTGTTAATAATTAAAATGTCAGTCAGTTGCAGCCGATCTTACAGGATAAAAAATGGGATCAATTAAGAAATTAAGACTAATTAATCAAACTGTTGTCAAGTAAATGCACGTAGATGTGTCCATGTTTCCCATTTCAGTCCGATGTCGAGACCAAGAAAACTTTAAAAAATTGTCAAAATTCTCAGTTTGTAGCATTTTATAGACTAAAAACTAAAGAAATTAATCAACAGATTATTTTTTTCAATTTAGAGCCAAAATAATCAATAATCATAAAACTACTCGTTTCATGAGATCAATGACCAGCAAATATCTATGATTGTTCATTCACAGCAGACTAAACAAGTTGTTGTTCATAATTCTGTGTAAATCTATTCACATGTCTATTATTCTGTAAAATGTCACAACAAATTAGTTTTAAAACATGGTGAAATTCTCTCATTTAGCTTCTTAAATGTGAATATTTTCCTCCTCTGTGACACAGAACTGAACATATGTGAGCTGTGAACAAAACAACACTTGTTTCTAATTGTTTTCTTCGCCGTGGTGACCAAAAAAACACAAGAAAATAATCAACAAATCAATCAGTAATTGAAATAATAATTAGCCATGTTGTTGTTTTGGCATTTTTAACTATTTCATGTCGGCTCTACATAAACCAATACGTTGATGATAAAGATACGAGTCAGGTGCAGCCGGTCTGACAAGATTAAAATCTTCTATTTCAGTATAAATCCAATTAACAATTCATTAAAATTATTTGATTTCAGCTGCTTAAATGTGAAAATATTCTGGTTTCTTTCCTCCGATGTCAACACTGATCGACATTTTTCAACAGTTTCTCACGTTTTATGGACAAAACATTTTAAAAATTGATTAACTGATTGAGAAACTAATCAACAATAGATAAAAGGAAAACCTTCCAGGACTCATTTGCTCCATTTGTTGGCGTTAAATTAAACTTTAAGAAATGTTACTTATGTCTTTAATATCCTTTAATATTTAATTTAAATTAATGTAAAAGTTGGAGGAGACTCAGTTGGACATAGAGGTTATATTTTATATTTAACTTCTAATAGAAATGTGATTTAATATAAACTTCTGAGTGGGCTGACTCTGTAACTATTTGATATAATTGTGGAGAAAAAGTCACATTTTTCCTTTGAAGTGACTCGATTTGACTCGAGGCTGTTCAGCAGAAATAATCCTCCTGTTTGTTCTCGCCGTGCTTCTAAACGTTAAACTATCCTCCTTACCCGACTGATCGCACGCTGCCAGAGGATCATAATGACTTACTGTTGGTTACCTGCAGCCGTCTGTGGCCGTAACGTGAGCAGACACACCTCAGACATTCCGGCTTCGCTGCTGTCGCTGTCAAACACGCCTGCAGGCGACACGCCCTGAAGGGAAATTAAAGGATTTCTGAGTGACGGGCTGCAGGCAGCAGCATAAAGGACGAAGCTCAGAGAGCAGAAAACACCTCCGAGGAACCTGTTTGTCCACCTGACGGTTCAGCAAACTGACAGAACAATGAAGTAGCCTTCAGTCACATCATGACTCGTCCTCCTAATCCAGATTTAAAGATGGCCTCCAGTCAAAAGCAGGTTTTATGTTGTGAATACGTCCATGTGGTGTTTTTTTTTAATATATATATCTTGGAAGATACAGCATGAAAAAACTTCTTTTAATTCACAGAAATTAGCTCTGAGGGGTTGAATGGATGCAGGAGAGGAGTTTAAAGTGCACATAATCCTGCTAATCGTTGCGCTAACCTGGAGCCTTGCTGCTGTACTTTCCCCCCCGTCGCCACTTAATCTGCACCATAAACTTCACAATCACTCGAAGCCAGCTGAGACACACCTTGAGCAGATAAGAGCTGCTGGTTGTCACGACATTCCTGACGTTGTTGTGATCAGACGAGTTCAAAGCAGCGACAAGCAGAACTTTCTCCTGCGAGGAAAACAGCTTGACGTGTAAAATGTGATGCAAAAAAAACAGACAAATTAAAAGCAGGTTTCTCAGAACGGGCCTCTGAGGGGAGTCTGGTGCCTCGTTTGACCAAAATCTGCATTTCGCTTTAATTTCTGTGCATTAAATTAGTAAAAATGTCTAAAATGCTCAAAGAAAATCAAACCCCGGTTATCGAAACTCATTTTGAAGCTGCTGAGTTTCCTCTTGCAGCTTCTGGTTCAGGAGAAGCTCCATCGTGTCGACTGTGCGGCTTCGCTGCATGTTTTCTGTGATCGTCACTCAGCTGACGCACAAATCAAATACGAGCTGCCAAGATTAGTGGTTGGACGGGTAAACTCTGGGCAAACAGAGTCACAGCAGCACGCTGTAAAAGAAAACTAGAGGAAAAAAACAGAAGTGGAAAAACTGAAATGTTCCCAAACTGTGGAAACAACAGCAAATAAAAAACATTTAAAAACTGTAAAAAAAAAAAAAAAAAAAAAAAAAAAAGTGCAACCTAATAGTCACACATTGTTAAAGAATGAAATCCTGTTTGTCTTGGTACAGAAAAAAATCTGTA